AATGAAGCAATTTAAATTAGACATTGTGCAAGTAGGACAAATGTTTTCAATTCAAAATAATGGCCAGCAGAATATCAGTGTCCCTAATTTATGTTGGTGTCTACTTTGCATAAATCAGGCATTATTCAAAATAAACTTTATTGGGTTTTCTTTCAAAATAAGTTTATGAAGGGCTGGAAGGGAGGGTTTCCTGCTAATATAAGCTAAAATAACACCTACTGCTTTCGGCAGAAGCAAAACTCGCAGGAGTAACGTCACTCAAAATTGTTTTGAATATTTCTCATGTTGTTTTCATTTGCCTTAAAAATGATGGTCATGCTGCCCCTCTGGTGCAAATAAGCAGTTGCTCAATAATGAACGTTTGGCATGAAATTTACATTCCCAGTTGTCATGCCGTGCATCTCTTCCCCCTCATTGTCCTCTCCTTCGTTCCCTGTTTATTCTGACCTCTGGTTACAGCCCCCGTGTGGATCACCCCAGGTGCCTCTCGTCTGTTTGAAGCCCTGTCCTTCAGTCCTACGATCGCCAGTCCAATCATTGATGTTGCTGCCTGCTTGTGTCCAGTGCTATCTCATCTTGCCTATTTGCATTGTCAAAATCTGATCATTAATATAGAATAGCAAATTAAATAATTTTGCTTTATTGATTTCCTGGCCAGACCTGTATCTTCGCCCTTCCAACAGCTGCTGAGACTGTATCATGGCCTCTTTGTTCATACATCGTACAGAGATGACAGATACACTGCTGGTCGTTACGGCAGTAGACCTCCAGTGGTCTGTCATGGTGGGAACAGACCTTGTCCTGCAGACGTCCAGCGGCATCAGTCAGCTTGTGCTTCTTAAAAGCTGGAGACTCATAGTGAGGCTGGAGGTGAGTTTCACAGTAAGAGGCCAGACACACCAGGCAGGACTTGACAGCTTTGTGTTTTCTCCCAGTACAGACGTGACACTCCACATCTCCAGGTCCAGACAAATTGGACAGCTGAAGTGGTTCTGATCCACTGCGACTGCATTTCTGTCATTTTACCACAAACACTGATAGGATTCAGTTTCGTCGTCTGTGTGTGAGAGTGAGAGGAACTTCCTGCTTCTCAGGCTGCAGTAAGTGTGGTTTTGGACTGAGGCCAGACTGAGGAGAGCAGACTGGGCAAACAGTGGAGTTTAAGTTTATGATAAAATAGTTCATAATGCAAATTATATATGCCTATTAATATAACAGTTACTGACAATATTTTTTCCCAATATTTCAATTTGATGTTCAATATAAGGCAAAATTAAGTTATTCTGTATTTTAGATGACTTTCTATGTCTCTTTAAATGATTGTTTTTTTTACTGCTTCTATTCTGTTGCTATCAGGCACCACAGCGCCTCCTGCTGACCTGCCATCCCCCACCCAGCCATAACACACCAGGAAGCAGCCCATCAATATCCAGTGCTCTCTCTTTCTTCTTATTGCACATATACCTCATTAATATTCTTTTCCAGGATGTTCGTGTACTGGGTACTTTTTAAGCTTATTTGCACTCTGTTTTGCATTTTGTCTTGTATTGCACCATACAGTATGTCTGATTGTCTGCACTTTATGTACATTGCTGCTGTATGCAAAATTTTCCCCTGAGATCAGTTAACTTAATCCTATCTTCTCTTGTTATATAATTCCCCAGATGATGTAGATTTACAGCAAAATGGTCACAGGATTAAAAGATATTATGTGGTATCAGGTGCAAAATGCAGGTCTGTGCAATATGGACTGTGTCAGATTTAGCTTTTATAATATAGCTTTGGTTAAACAACAGATTTGATTGTTACATCTTATCTGATTAAAATGGAAGGATCTAGCATCACCCCCAACAACTTCCATCCATTGCATGGATATACATTGACCACTGCTGCAGCAAAGTGCATCACAGGACCCAAACCACAGCGGCCACAAGCTGGTCTCAACCCTGGAGTCTCATAGGATATTTCACAGTGTCACAATTTTGGCTTTAGATTCAAGAACAGTTTCTTCCCCCAAACCATCCTCATCATCAACAGCTAATTCCAGGCTGCTGTAATACTATTCGCACCTGTGTATTTTGTGAATTGTAATGACAGAAGTATCACAAAGGTATTTCTCTATAGTACTGCATGTCTACCAATTGCCTGTTAACAATTATTTAGGTACTGTTAGTAATTCTTTGTAATATGTCTGAACAAGTAAGCTTTCCAATGCAGTTGTTGAATATTGCAAATAATACATCTTGTTTTTTTATTTTATTTTCTATATCACTTGTATGGTGCCAGTATCAGAAAGACTATGAATATATTATCAATTCTACAGCTCTAGGCATCAATGTATGTTATCACTGTCAATGTATAAATACCCATCCTGAATTCGAAACTGACTTTATATACATATATTTTATATCCATATATTTTTTTTGGTCCCTGTGTTGATTTTTATGCATAACCTACACTTCACCAGGGAAACCTCTGGGATTTATATCTAATTTGATGTTTCAAATTTCATAACTAATTAACGTATTGTTGGTCTAAAGGACATATAGCTTCTACTACCATGAGTACTTTTAGGAAAAATAACAGCCAAAAATTATAAATAACAGCCACATGAGGGTAGCAAAGTTATGGATGTTTTATGAAACAAAGTAAGTGAAGATGTCAGCCCTCTGGTGGCAAAACAGTGTAAATGACTTCTCTAGTCAGTCTATGAAAATGAAAAGTACCGTAACGTAGAGTATTGTATTTGTGTGCTGTGGAGTGTAAAACAAAATAGTGACGAAAAACAGGTACCTCGAGAGACAGTACATTTTGAAAAATATTTTTACAACATTTATATATTTAAATTTTGATTCATCCTTCATGACCTTCATGACTGGTGCCCTGACTAGAATGGATGGATGGATGGATGGATGGATGGATGGGTGAACATATATCTAGGCAGGAGTGACTCACATACTGACAATGATATGACAAAATGAGATTATATACAATGTTTTGACCAGGAAGTTAACCATAAAATTATTCAGATTTGCAGATGTAGGTATACATAGTTAAAGTAACAGGAAATCCAACAAGAATGGGATCCTAAGAGAACAACAACCCCCCCCATCTTTTCAGGACAGGAAGTCAGCTCAGACCAGGTCCCACCCCCCAGCCAATAGGCTGCCTGGAAGCTGAAGGGTGGTCCAGCTAGACAGCACTGAGTGTTTTTTTTTTTTTTTGGGGGGGGGGGGGGGGGGGGGGGGGGGGGCAGCATGGTCACAACAGAAGGGGAAGTCCCCCCCCCCAGGAAGTAGAAGTGGAGGGTGAGGACAGCTCACTTAATTATCAGTCACTGTATCTCAGTGCTGCTATACTTTGTCACTCTTGCTAGGGAAGTTTATTGTCTTGCAGACAGTTTCCTGCTGATGTACAGCCCCGGTCACACAGGCCACAGTCAGCCATTACTGTAAGTCACAGGTGTCAGACTCCAGTCCTGGGGGGCCGGAGCCCTGCGCATTTTTGGGTTTCCCCTTGTTTAACACACCTGATTCAGCATCTTGTGCTAATTACCACATAGCTGTTGAGCTGAATCATTTGTGGTGGAACAGGGAAAGAACTAAGCTATACAGGGCTGCGGTCCCCAGGACTGGAGTTTGACACCCCTGCCGTAAGTGATGATATCGATCAGGTGGGCTGTGCAAAGGCAGCAAGACGATAAAGTTTGTGGTCAGTTGGTGAGAAGGGGCCGACACCCCATGCAAACCGAACAGGAGAGAGCAGAACCTGTATAAACCAAGCGGAGGGGAGAAAGTGGGTTTTTCATTGGACTCCAGGAGTCCTGGGTCACAGACAGAGACAGAGAAACAGCGACTACATGGAGAATCAGGAAGTGAGTGTCAGTCTCCACAGACCTGAGGTCAGTGAGACGCAAATAAGTTTATTTTATCTGTGAGAATCTCTGTAATGAAACAACAGGCTGTGTCTTGGGCGTCTGTGTCTGTGTGTGTCTGTCGGGGGCTGAGAGAAACACAAACAGCACTCAGTCTGATAGGACTGCTGATAAGGCCCAGGTGTTTTTACAGAGTCTCAACCTCACATCCTGTATGACGACATTTCTGCCTTTCAAAATAACTGCGTGTCTGAGAAAAAATTCTGCATCATGCTAGTGATTTAGCTGCTTTATGCTCATGCACAGTAGAAAAAGGAGGAAGTTTGGCATGGATCGCTCTGGGGGATCCTTATCGTCATCCCAGCCACACCCCCCGGGGATTCCGATCCCAGCCACACCCCGCGGGGATTCCGATCCCAGCCACAGCCCCTGGGGATTCCAACCAGTAGGGCTTCCCTGAGATGACGAGCCCTATCGCCCCGTTTTTCTGGTTTTGCCAGTTACTCCGGTTTAATACACACCTCTCCCAGCTGTTTCACGTTCTCTCTTGATCTGTGCTTTATTTCTGGTGACCCGGCTTCCTGATCTAGGCGAGATCTTCATGATGTGCCCTGAGTTCGAACAGTTATTCCTGTGTCCGTTTCCCTGTGTATCGACTCCTGCTTTGCCTCCTAGATTCTGTGTTTCTGCCCATCCCTCTCAGTACCGACGCCAATCGCCCGACCCTCATCCGGTTTACCGAACACGGTCTTTGGCTCTGCTTCCCAGTTACCTTCGCCAATTTCCCGTCCACCTACCCGTGCTCCCTGGACCCCCAAGTGTTTTCTGCTGTCCAATAATAAACTTGGTAACCCGAAGGTGATCTGCGTCAATGTCTATCTTCTGATCATTACAACAAAGTTAAATAAATTCAACATATTTGCTTCACTTGCTTGTATTTTTAATCGCTGAGCTGCAAGGATTCTTTGTATAGACCAGCTGCCAATTGTTTTCCTTTGAAGTTATGTTTCTAAAATAAGTTTCTCAAAGTATTTTAGTTTCTACAGACCAATAATAATGGTCTGACTTTCTGAAGGGCTAAACATTCAGCTTTGTGGTTTTGTCACGTCCTGTTTAAAGTGTCCACTCCCCCTTCACTCTGCCTGCTGTGTGTAAGAATAGAAACGACAGAAACAGTGAAGGTACAGAGGATGAGAAAGTGATTGTTACTCTCCACAGATCTGGGCTCAGTGACACACAGACGTATGGATCCTCTGATGCTCCTGTTTCTTCTCATTGCTGGGCTCACAGGTGAGTGTCACTCATTACAGTGGAACTGAGTAGAGATCTCTCTCCTGCTCCTCCACACACTGTCAGGTACAGTTTGGAGATCAGGATGGAGATCAGGATGGAGATCTGCTCAGGAGAAATCGCAAAATGTCAATTGTGAACAGATTCAGCTGCTTTCTGTAACATCAAGAAATTGTAAATATTTTTGGATTCTTACGGGTGTTTGTATCAAAGCATTTATAATCGCTATGTTAATATTTTAAAAATGATCAGTGTACCATATATCAGCTTATTGATATTATAGATATAGTATCTAAATATTCAGTGTAATACTATCATGTCTTTCTTTAGTAACCAAGCAGTACAAAGACCCTGTTAGTGCAGATAAAATATCCCTGTCTCTTGTTCCCTTTGGTTTTCTGTGAAGCCTACGATTGATCTTCCTGGGGTCATTTCAGCAGCACAGGTGGTTATGTGAGCAGACAGCCGGCCCGAGCCGGGATGCCATCAGTCATTTCTGTGTGTACAGTCAGAGAGGTCTAAACACCCAGCTTCATGTGCTACTGGGGCAGGTCTCTGTTTATCAGGGTCAAGATCAGCCTCAAGCCCAATTCATACTTCCCTTTTCCATTTGCACTTTCAGCCTGCAGAAGGTCATGCGCACAGCAGCTTGTGTTCATGCGGCATTTATTGCTGGATGCAGATTGTCATGGTCAGTGCCTGCATGCAGCAGTGATATCCCACCAGACCCAGAGAGAGCAGATATGTTGCAACAAACACAAAAGCAGTGTAGTGAAATGGGTAAACTTTTTATGAATAGTTTTAAAGTTTTTAATAGAGACTTCGGCAGAATAGAATGCTTTTGAAAAGACCATATATAGCTGTATAATGTCTGGACAGTATAAATTATCTGCATAGTAAAAATGTAAAAAAACATTTCTCCTCACCTCTTACAACAATTTTTCTTCCTCTTCTATTTTTTGTTTGCCCTGTGAAAGTCAGTGCTGCCACCTACTGGAGAGACCTAGTCAGTTATCTTGCACAAGCGCAGTCGACGTGCAGCAATGTGCATGATCTCCACCGAACAAAAAATCCGGGCTAAACATGCATCATCCACAGTCATCTGGCGTAAACCTTTGATGACGAAATTTATGTCACCTCACCCTGTTTGTTACTGAAAGTATGAATTGGCCTTCAGGGGTCGAGATTAGACCTGGTTGTCTTTCACTCTGCAGCAGGTTTGGAGAGCTAGTTAACCTCTAGCTGGTAGAGACTGGGGGCAGCGTGGGGGCCTCACACCTCCAGGCTTGTGGTTTCAGTATCTGGCCCAGCTCTCTGTGGGGAGTTTGCATGTTATTCCTGTATCTGCACTGGGTTCTTCTGAGTTCTCCAGTTTCCTCCCACAGTCCAAAGACATGTGGTTCAGGTGAATTGGTGCCTCTAAAATTACCCATAGTGACTGTGAGCGTTTGCCCTGTGACAGACTGGCATCCTGTCCTGGTTGTTCCCCTGCCTTGTGCCCTGTGCTCCTTCAGATCAGCCCCACGCTCCCTGTACAGGTTAAGATTGGTGGCTGAGCTAAGGTATATTTCAGTGGCGAACTTTGGACTGAAGCACACTTCAATCCAGACCGCTGTGATCGACAAATACTGTGGGTAACCCCCCCCCCCCCATCCATGGTCAGTAAATGATGTGGACCTTGGCTCTGTTACCATGATGGGAATGATAGCTGAGTGCCCCTCCCCTACAACACACCTGCTTTGTTTTCCTGTGTCTTTCCCTTGTTCTTATGGCAAAACGACAGTCTTGCTGTTTTACCTCCTCACTGTCCTCTTAAACCCATCTCTCTGTGCCATGACTCCTGGTACAAGTGTTACACAAACTGATAATATATAATATTAACCAGAGATACTGTGATGCTGTAAAAGTGAATTCAGTTGGTTGTTTTCCCCACAGGTGCTGACAGTGTGTCCTCAGTGGGACGGGTGTCTGTACAGAGTGGAGGATCTGTCACCATCCCATGTTCCTATGATGGCAGATATAAAACACATGTGAAATACTGGTGCAGAGGGAGTGGCTGGAGTTCATGTACTTACATAGTACGCAGTGACTCTCCACAGAAGGATGAAGTGTCAATCAGTGATGATCCTGACCAGTCAGTCTTCACTGTGACCATGAACAATCTGACAGCTGGGGACTCTGGTTACTACTGGTGTGGTGTGGAGATCAGCAGAGGTTCAGCTGTGGGAACACGGATTTACCTGTCAGTTACTGAGGGTAAGATGTCTGTACTGCAGACTGTAGCCAATGAGATGCTCAGTATGTAACATGTCATTCAGTCAGAAAGGAAGGATATTAACATAAACACAGGAGAAAATATTTTAGAAAATATTATGTTTCAATATTTTAAAACTTCATTAATATATAAGAGGGACCAAATTTTACTTTTTGATCAATACCATAAATAAGATCTGGGAGGAGTAACAGTGACATTTTAAATGGGTTTTCAGGAGGTTAAATACGATAAGTGGGCAGTGGTGGCATGATGGTTAGGGAAGCGCACTTGTAATTGAAAGATTGCAGGTTCAAATCCCCCACCAGCAAATCACCACTGAGGTGCCCTGCGCAAGGTACCATCCCCAAGCACTGCTCCCTGGGCGCTGAATTAGCGGCCCCTGCTATGTCACGAAAGTCACATATGGGTCAAATGCAGAGGTCACATTTTGTTGTTGCACACTGTGTGCTGTGGTGTGTTGACAATGACCACTGATCACCTAATTCTAAGTAATATGTTAAGAAATGTCCTTTGGTTTAGTTTTATATGTGTAAGAAATTTGTGGAGAAACATCAGTATTAACTGACTAATATTCATCACTATTTTATTGTTATGTAAATATCACAGTGTTTTTTCCTAATCTGTGTGTTCAGGTTCCCCAGGGCTGTCTGTGGACAAACAGGAGATGACAGGTGTGGAAGGAGACAGCGTCAGTGTTCAGTGTCGATATGAATACTATTACAGGGAATTGTCATGGTGTAAGATGGGGGGCTCCTGTGCATCAGAGGGATCTGGGAGTTTGGATGGGAGGCCTGTCCTGATCACGGATGACACAGTAAATAAAGTCTTCAGTGTGACAATGAGGGGACTGGAGAGGAAGGACACAGGCTGGTATTGGTGTGATAATGGAAACCAGCAGATCCCAGTTCATATTACTGTCAATCAGAGAACTACAACCACAACCAGCACTGAACGTAAGTAATGACATAAAATCTGGCTGTGAATTGTTTATGCTTAAATCCACAGAGATAAATGCTAAATGAGCCCAAGGGGTCTCCTCATGATGGGGGTCTGTGTGTTTGTGGGATAATCTGGGGGGGTGGGGCTGTGTCTTCCCATATCAAGGCAGACCCAGGCAAACTAGACAGGGGTCCAATCAGGAAAAGGGGACCCAGATAAAGTCATAAAGGAATATACAGTGTATATCATATATTCATATATCCATCCATCCATCATCCATCTGCCGCTCATCAGGTTCTGGGTTGAGGGGATAGCAGTCAGAGATGACCTCCTGCTGGTCGGGTCTCTACCCATGGGGCCCAAAATAGTTACATGGGTCTGCCAGCCTATGGGCCCACTACCTGCAGGGGGGGCCGGGGGGTGGGGGGGAGGTCTGGTGCTGTGTGGATTGGGCAGTAGTCGAAGGCCGACACATCCTCATATAACTTTACATCAAATGAAAATGTTTTTATGCAGACAGATGGGGGGATGGGGGCAAAAAATATTGTCTCCTTAGTGTTATTTGATGACTTAATCTGGCCCTGGGTATTACCAACAAGCACCAGGCTGAATAAAGTAATGCAACAGCAAAGACAAAGACTCTGAATTTAAATATTATTATGAGCCTTTTTAAATATCTCAATAAATCTCTTGTAAATTCTTTAAACTCCCCAATATTTCAGCTGTTGTTGAATAGGGTAATTCATTGAGACAATAGTTTCTTTGTGGGTGGCACAGTGGCCCAGAAGATGGTGCTGCTGCTTCACACCTCCATGTTTAGGGGTTTGAATCTCACTAATTCTCTGCCTTTATGGAGTTTGCATGTTCTCCATGTGCTGTGTGGGTTTCCTCCCTCAGTCCAAAGACATGCAGTCAGGCTAATTGGTGTCTCTAATAGAGAGTGTGTGTCTATGTGCCCTGTGACTGACTGGCATCCCGTCCAGGATGTCCTCCATCCCTGTGCCCTGTCCTGCCTGGGATCAGCTCCAGGCCCCAAATCCCTGATCAGGATGAGTGATTAGAAGATAGATGTGTGGATGGCTGTAGTTTTATGTATCTGTATGAATGTACTGAAAGATAAACTTACATATCAGCATTACCTCTAAAGGAGACATCCCATAATACAGGCTTGATGACCTCATCAGATACAGGTCCTGCTCTTTATCAAATACATGAGTGTCTGATCTACATGTTACACCTGGGAGCTACAGAGGCCTCTGGATTTGCCTAATTCTAGTTTATGATCTATCTTTGTAAAATGACAAATATCACAAGATTTTGCCACAGACAGGCACCAATGTTACAGTCATCTATTATGCGTGTGTATTAGGTTTATATTACATTGTGGGGACCAAATGTCCCCCATAATGTAATGAAAACTTATTTGACATTTTGGGGACCATTTTTCAGGCCACCATAAAGGTCTGTAAATGCAATCAAAGAAGTAAAAATGCCAAAAGTCTCATATTTTGTTAATTATAGTTAAGGTTAGGGCTGGGTAGGGGTTAAGGGTGTCATGTCGTGGTTAGAGTTATCCCCATAGGAATGAATGGAGAGTCCCCACAAAGATATAATTACAAACCTGTGTGTGTGTGTGTGTGTGTGTAAATCCATATAAATTCATGCAGTTTTCAAATCATTAAATGCAGACTTTACTGTCATACTTAAAATCTATTTCAGGCATATTTCTTCCATGTTGGGATCATTACTGAAGGTGTTCAGACTGCTTATGTCTGTCTGTCAGTGGTTAATAATTGCAGCAAAGGCCAGTGTTACAGCTGTACTCTGTAATAACTGATCCAGTTCCATCATAAATACATTGTGATGTATTAATGACATAATTCATCTCAGCTTGACTGACCTGGCATATGAATACTTTTGTCATAAGCCTAATTTATTATTCTGTATCCAGCCAGCTACTCTTAAATATTTTCATTATTCTTATCTCAGTTTTAGAAAGGACTTTTTTTTTATCAATCTTTAATAACTGACAGAATAGGAGTTTTAACTCCTCATCAGAAACCAGAATCTTTTCCCCCTGTTTTCACTGCTGTCCTTTTCTCAGAAACCATCAGGGCTTCTGCTGCTGTATCTACCACCAAAATGGTCCTACAGACAGTCTCAGTGCATGATGAAGAAGGAGAGAATAATGAAAAACAGAAGTAAGCATTCAACAGCATTTACAGTAGTGTGTTGGTCCAGCTAGCATTGTTTATGTGATCACACATAATGTAAAGCTTCAATGATATTTATGAGAATATTAGCATAGTTTTTCATTTTCAAATTAGAATATACTTGAGAAGGCATCCCATCCAGGGTAAGTTCCTGCTTTGTGCCCTATGCTGCTGGGGAAAGGCTACAGGCCAGTTTGGAAAATGGATGGATGAATGGATGGATGGATTCTACAAAGCAGTGTAACATGTTTATTGACCATAGTAAAACTGGAAGAAACAATTGTCCAGCTTTTTTCATGCTCTTTGTTAATGTCTCCTGTTCCTCTCATGCAGTCTGTGTAATAGTACAGATGAGGCTGAACCATGTTACTATAAAGCATGTAAGACTTTACTGTTCAGATCCACCCTCTTATTCAGCTCCTTGGTCCAGCTGGCTCTGTATGTAGGACTGGGCTTATTGGTGCTGCTGTTGATGGTTATAATTCTGTCAGAGTAGATTCACTGCGTTGTTCTTCAGGTTTAAATGTGATACGTGTGACTGACAGACACACTGATGTATTATATGTCTGACAGGTGGGAGCAGGTTCTGGATGCTGCACTGAAAGCTGGGACTGGTGTGTTGTATCTGATTTGCACCATCATCGCCATTCAGCTGCACTGGAGCTCCTGTAAAAAGAGGGGAACCAATCAGAGAGAAGCAGAGGGAGGGGCCAATACAAACCATGGGTCATAGGAAATTCTGAATAAATATACAAGCTTGGTAATCCTGTTAATATGATTAGCATGCAGCCTCTATTAGTGCATATAAATGAACAAACCTCAAGGCTGTATCAGCAGGGTTATGCTGTGCTCATATGAAATGTGTCTTTATATTTCAGCAGCATTTCAGTTTATGCTCTAGTAATTTTTTGTACATAAATCTCCCCAGATCAGAGGTTGCTGGGAGGCGGAATGACCTTAGTGGTGCAGAATGACTCAGAATAGCTGTAAAATAAATGGTTATGCTAACTGCAGTGAGGTCTCTCTCACACGGCCCTGCTCAGTCTGTCCAGTCATACCATGAGAGTCAGTTAAACACAGAGGGTTTGGTCTGTAGTGTTGGATTATCTGCTGGGAAGCCATGCGGCCGGTGCTTTGTATGGCTGATGGCCTCTTCTTCACAAGGACTTTGCTGCCACCTGCTGGTTACACTCACACCTTTGTAATTCTGCTTCACTTGGCTGTCTTATCACTGTAGCATAAAGAGTTAAAAATAATTTACTCATTAGTGAAACTAAATTAATTGTTCTGATTTAATAAATCATTGATAAGGATATGGTTTACTGTATATTTTGTATTTTTCTGGAGTTATTAAAATGATTAAAAGAGAATGAATAATTTTCCAAACTTGAAGTGAAAGCGTCTTCTCTGCAGTTGTGGGTTCGAGGCTCTCCAAAGGTCAGCTTCAGCTCTGTTTGACATTTTGAGTCTTCGTTTTGTTCCCCTTGTTATTTTGCAATCATGTTATTTTTGTATTGGTCCTTGTTTTTATATCTGTTTCTGACTGAGCACAATATGAACTTATTCTGAATGTCCTGTGTATAACACAATATTCTCTTCCTTGCTGCCTGTTAGGAAACTATACAAGGTCCATCTGGAGAAGCAAATAAATTCAATGTTGAAATACCAGTTAAAATTCAGGTTTGTGGTTATTTGCTTGTCTGGGGTCCCCTACTCCGAAATTTCCCATTAATTGCATTATATTCCCTTCACATAACTTTAAGTGACATATAAGAAAAATATAAATGAAATTCTTGTGCCATAGTAGCAAGGGTGGGGACAAGTGTAAGGGAGGACAAGAGGACAGACAACAAATTCCGGACAAAACAGCACATGACAAAAGACAATATAATATGGGAATAGGTTAGGGTTAGGTTTAGGGTTAGGGTTACAAAACAATAAACATGCAGTAAATATGTGGTGCATTGAGGAAGGATGTGCAGATAGCCACAGGTAGACGGTACTAATGAAGTGCAGAAGTGGAATTGACAATAGTGTGCATTACAATACAGTGGGGACAGATGCAGGTCACTGGTTATTTAGCAACCTGATGGCTTGGGGAAAGAAGTTGTCTCTGAAACAGGTGGTGCAGTTGGTGATGCACTGGTAGAGCTTTCCCCAAGGGCGGGAGTGTGAAGGGGGCGTGAACTGGGTGGCTTGTGTCCCTGAAGTTGGACTCGGCCCTCTTTCATCAGTCAGAGAGGCAGATGGCTTGCAGGAGGGAAAATTGGTGCTGAAGAACTTTGGGGATGTTCGGAAGGTTCTTTGTAGAAGTTTAAGGTCCTGAGCATTTGTGTTTCCCATCTACACTGTGATGCATCCAGTCGGGATGCTCTCAATGGTACAGGGGTAGAAGTTCACCAGTATTTAACAGTGATGGGAACAAGTCATTCCTTGGCGAGTCTGAGTCAAGTCTCAAGTAAAAACATGGTAATCTAACTCAAGTCTCAAGTCATTTGCCTCCAAGTCCAAGTTGAGTCATAGGATAAATCTTTATAGACAGAGACAGATAGAAAAGAGAGTGTCTACACATGATTGTCCTCACACAGTTTTTATGATCCATGTATATGTAGGGAGTGATGCATATTTCCAACAAACTATCTCAGGAGACCTTGCATTTGTTACCAGCCCTGACTTAGGGGTAATCCGAGCCGGCACAAGGTCCCACCAGTGGGGTAGTACTGTGGGTGACGATAAGGAGACATAAAACTTCACGTCTTGCTCAAGTCGATCGTCGTTTAATACTGTCACATCAAACCTATACATCTAAATACAACATTCATGATGCAGCACCCCAATACTTTTCCATTGCAACCATTAACAAACAGTAGATGATAAACTGAGACCAAACATACACTAGACATAAATACAATATTTCACCTACAATAATAAAATACATATGGCATACATACACAAAATGCAATACAAAACCTTTTCTAGATATCTGCAGGTTATAATAACAACATAATGACATACCAACAATATCAAACAAATACTACAATACATATAAATAAAAATACAGATCAGAAAATAATACAATTCTTAGGATACTCTTGTACTTATAAATACAATCAGTTTGGGGACTGTACTTGAATCTGCAGGTCCCGGTATTATCCGGCTACATGCGCATGCATCCTCATTAACGTTCTGTGGCAGCAAGCCAAGGGAGGACAGTAAGCGGCTCTGCCTAGGAGAGCAGAGTGATAGTGCAAACTAACAGAATAAAAGTTGGAAATAAAATAAATCAATAGGCAAACATGTATGTCAGGTATAAATGTAAACATTAGTATACACAAAGTACATTTCACAGTTTACAATCTAGATGGTTGACTGAAGCGCTAACTAACAGGAGCTAGCTAATTGGGCTAACTTGGTAACCACGACCGTCTGCACAAACAAAACACTTCATAAGTAGATGCTGTATTTACGCTTCACCCAAACATTACTAGGACACTGCTACTGTTAAACAGTTGTGTTTGGTTGACACAAACCCCTCTTGGAAATAAGTTTAACCAACCTGTGGGAGACGATAAGGAGACACAAAACTTCACGTCTTGCTCAAGTCGATCATAGTTTAATACTGCAGAAGTCTGGGTAGCAGGGGAAACACAGTAAGGACTTTTACAACGGGGAGGACAGGATGGACAGTGACACCTGCTGGCCAAACGGGGAGAAGACACAAAACACTTGGACAGATGGGTGCTGACCCTGATAGTAATATGTTTAGTGGTTTTCTCTATCCGCTATAGGAAAGTTTACTAAGCCTCTCCCATCATATTACATCACCTCAGTGATGGAGATGCACATCCCTAATAATTCCATCTCAATTCATCAAATTTAGGAAAATATACCCACCTTACCTCCAGATTTGCTTAAAAAAAATCCAGAGTAATAATCCAGGCTGTACTTTGTAACGGGAAACGGTAAAACTATAAAATTCAGATCTCTACTTGAGGGGGAATGTATAGATTAAATATCGGGTACTATTATTATTCCAGTATTTTTGGCTGGAAGATAATTGGCTGAGAATCTGTGAACATTTCACATTCCTGGAAGGAAAAAAATGTCTTTGAAATTGTATTTGGACCGTTGATTTATTATGATAATTATGCAATTATGTTCAGCTTCCAAAGACGAAGATTTTAGGAGATGTGTTTCCATGTTGCCTTTTGCTGTAATCTGATGATAGCTGATTACTTACTTATTCATTTTGCATCACTCAATTTAACTGAAAATCCTATTAATGTCTTACTGCTATAATCTATTAATGTAACATATTTCATGCTGTGCAATATTGGGAACCTGTGTGCAGCGTAATTCTGTAATGATAATGCAGGATAGAGGGTCTCAGTGAATGTGTATAATAATAATACTGTAGTGATAACGCAGGTCAGGGAGTCTCAGTGAATGTGTATAATAATAATACTGTAGTGATAACGCAGGTCAGGGAGTCTCAGTGAATGTGTATAATAATAATACTGTAGTGATAACGCAGGTCAGGGAGTCTCAGTGAATGTGTATAATAATAATACTGTAGTGATAACGCAGGTCAGGGAGTCTCA